TCTCTGTATGTCAGTAAATTAGTGTTAATTCTTAAGTGTTGATAAATTCAATTGTCTAATTATGTAACAGATTAGTAAGTTTATAATTTATTTGGCAGTGATGTCATACAGATGCAACACGTTGGTCTCTGCCTGACACAAAGTAGACTATGAGGCTGAATTCTTTCATATTTTACTCAACATCCAGTTTTAGAAGTAGAATTAATTCAATGAGGGACCGAATTTCTCATTCACTTCTCATTCACACATCGCTGCAAAGGCGTATATGACTTAAAATTATATCATATCAGAGGACCAGCTTTTCTTTATTTTCTCAGTTTTCTGTTTCCACTGTCCAGTATGATTTTCACGTGTTACTAATATTTGAGCTCTCTCTTTGTACATTAACTGGCTACTGGACAGCAACAGGTTTCTTCATTGTCTAATATGTATTACCCTGTTTATTCCATGAATTGTATATCATGTAGTAAGTATATATCGAGCTCATATCTTCCAAAAAGCACCAAGGCTTGTGTTACTTCGCTAGATCTATTTGTACCATTCAGTTTTAGCAGCTTCCTCCATTCTCATTGTTATATAACTAGCAGTGAGAACTAGGCAGCGTGTTTCGTTCTATTTGATATATGTTACCTGGATGTATCTGCATCCCTGGTGACTGACGGGATTCTCACTGAGACCCTAACCCAGTGCTTATCCTTTAAGATGTCAAGACGTCAGCACAAATCCAGTGTTATCCACTAGACCACTTAGGCCAAGAGAACCATAACTCTTTGGAGTTCTTTGGGTTCTAGCCTTGGCGGGAACATCATCAATCACTGGGGAATGCAGGTATATCCAGCTGACCAGAGAGTCCCAAATAGGACGAAATGCGCGTTATCCTGGATTCCATTGCCAGTCACCATCCATCAGTTAACCTCTAATAACATGTCCAGATATCGTCGAAGCATCTGCACAAAAAGTCGACATGTAAACAAAGGCCGAGCGACTCGGTCGAACCAGTTTACGAGTAAATCTACATTGAATCGAATAATGGACACGAAATTTAAAGTATTTTCAAAAAAGTGAACATCTTAGAATTGATTATAAAAAAGGTTTATGTATTTCCAAATGAATGAAAAACAAAATGATATTGTCGATTTAATAACATTTCACTATTTAATGCTACTGCTAATAGCTTTATCAAATGAACAACTTGCGGCTAGTGAACGTCATATGTAATTTTACTGCAAAGAATGTTTTACTGACTGATTTGGAGAGACGATTTTTGAGCATATCTGAAGCTTGATCATCTTTGAATTCCAAGTTCATGAATGGGGTTTTCTTTGGAACTGAGTCGGTGACCAGTTAAGAATGCTTATCTTTCATGTTGCTGTCAATAACTCGGTTAGCGCAACCGTTTTCTGAGAACGTGACTTTTAAGAAGTCAAGTTCTGAGTCAACGCAATCAGAACTACAAATGTTCCTTATCCTAAAGCAGAGCGAATGAATTAGGTTCCTTTTCCTGGAGATAGGCACCCAACTATAAAAATTAGTTAGTTGTCCGTTCCATGTAAGTTTCCGGTGGATAGATCTTTCGAGAGAGATCCGTCATCACGTCTGCTAAGGTACACATCAAGAAACGGAATACTTAGTTTGGATTCCTTTTCTATGGTGAATTGTGAAGAAGGATGGCAATTGTTGAAAGCAAACAAGACATCATCAAGAATTACGTTATTATCGCAGATAACAAAAGTGTCGTATACGCACATTTTATAAATGTGAAAATGATCGATGGTTTAACTAAGCTAAGAATTTTCAAGCTTACATATGACGTTCACTAATCGCAAGTTGTTCTCTACCTCTGTAAAAGGTAAGCTACGCCGTCTGGCCGCCTCCATGTGCATCTATCAGTTCACCTGCTCTTGTGGAGCAAGGTACGTTGGCCATAGTCAGAGGACGCTTTCCACACGGATACGAGAACATATTCCAGAATGGTTTTACAAGGGAGAAAGGAAGTGTGTGCGTAGCTCCATTCTGGAACACCCGATCAACTTCTGTCACTCTGTCAACCCTGACCATAATTTCAAGATCATTTATAGAATCCACACTAACTTCCCACGTTTCCTTCATTACAGACTTCTGAAGACAGCTGAGGCCTTGGCAATTCATGACTTTAAGCCAGACCTTTGTGTACAAAAGAAGTATGTACAATCCCTACTTCTGCCTCGGCCGTAGAGGAATAGACATTTATTCATTTTGTTTATTTAGTTATTCTATGTACTTTTCCCTTATTACTACGATTATTATTATTATCATTATTATTATTACTATTCTCACTCTGAATCTTTTTCACTTGACCCACTTGACATTTTAAACCTAAAATTATTAATTTTCATATTTTTATATTTTTTACAATATTGAATTCTGTCTTATCAAATTTCATACCATGTAATGTAACATTTTATATTCGTCTACTAATCTTATAATTATGTACCCTTTTCCAAAATCTATACACCTTATGTATTATTCTATATACGACATTAATTATTGTGCCACTTGACATTAAACTATAATTATAATCACAAATATTTTAATTGCATTTCATACTATTATTATTATTTCATGTATTCACAACTTTGACCTAATTCCCTCACCGGATATAATTTCGTAAAATACCATATATATATATACGATTGTACAGCTTGATAATAAATTCGTTGTTGAAAAGGGTCTCTTCACTGAATATTGTGTTCTTAATGCTACAATGCGAATCATTAAATTATTACAACATTGAAACAATCCAGAAAAATTTCAGAAATCACAAAGAACGTCTAATATCAGAAGTACTTCATTTCAAGTGGAATGCAAATTGTCTGATGAACAGGAATGATGGACTAAAAGAGAATTTGACCTGGTTACAGCAACCGCTCGCGTCCGCCATGAAATGACAAAATCAACACGAATGTGATAAGCAATTCCATTATGTAAACACACGCTGCTTTTATAATTTTATACACTAATCAAATCCAGCAATCTACACCTGGTTTTGTTATCTTGACCAATTGGCCAATTTGACAACGAAAAATGACCTCATGCTGAGAAACGATGATTAAGTTGTTATATATAAGGTGAGGTGATTTTGTAAATTCTGATTCAATTCTACTACTCTGATAAAGCTATTAGCAGTAGCATTAAATAGTGAAATGTTATTAAATCGACAATATCATTTTGTTTCTCATTCATTTGGAAACACGTAATACCTTTATTATAATGAAAAGCATATACACAATGCCCAAATTTTTTCAGACTGTTAGAAGTGAACTTGGTTTGGACATATACATATATATTTATATCATAGAATTGATCTGATTCTGATTACTACTCGGTATGAAAACAAGGTGATAGACTATGCACTGTAGACCTTTGCAATGTAACACAATTTGTGTGTTTCTCTTCTTTGTAAGACAGTTGAAGCTATATTGTAGAATCTCTATATAGGGCGAACAACTAGACAGCTGAACAAACGCATTAATGAGCATCTCCCTTCATGGTTCGGAAAAGGTCAAATAAAATCCATATGAAGTTGTATTTTGGCTCATTTGATTGATAGCGGTCACCAAGTGGACAAAAATAGTGCTTTCAAAGTTATCTATCGTATTCCATCGAGTCTTTCGAATGGAATCAGAAACCGTCTTTTACACATAGCCAAAGCTATGGGAATCAATTCGAGAGAACAATCCTAGTCTTTGCATACAAAAGAAGTTTGTTCTACCTTTGTCTCTCCCTTGGCCTAGGTGAACTGTATTCAAAAACCCTCCCACCCTTTCTTATTTTCCACCTCCTTTGTACTTTTATAATATTTATTTAAACTCTGATTATCGTTCCACTTCACCTTTTAAGATATGACCCAATTTATTTATACACTTATATACATATACTATCTTTGTTATTCTTATCACCTGCATAAACCTTATTATCAATATTTTGTTATCATTATAATCATCGTTATTAATCCCGTTCAAAACATTTACCATATTATTATTATTATTATTATTTGATTCCCAAAATCACCGTCATTGGTTAAAATTTTATGTATAAATCTATGTAAATTAGAGTAAAGCCTGAAGAAGATCTAATTGAAAACAATTTTGTTCGCTTATATGTCTCGTTCTAATATTATAAATGGGAATATTTAAAAATTTGAAATCTCTTTAATTAACAAATATCCTTTATTATTCAACAGTTTTAGACTTCATGTTGTCAAGTCGCATAGCTGTTTTGCCCTGATTAATAACGCCACCAAGGATAATAGTTATGATTTCAGGCCATGAGACCAGCCTATGATTTTCTACGATTCTGTGATCGGTCTCAGTCCGTGGTCATAATTGAAGCCAACCAAATCCTAGCAAAATAAGTCTTGAAAACCCGAAAATCACGTCGATAAAAATTTCCTAGGTGTAAAGGGATTCTCAGGTCGTATTTCAGTTGGCATTAACATGGCGATAACTTATTACTACCTGAAATTTGTACCACCTAATGAATAAAGAAAGTCGACTTTGTTTTCACTGACGTTTCTACACCTAATACCAGTTGCTTTTTCAAAGTAGTAGTGGGCTAAAAGAATCTATAAAATCTCATTTTTGATATAATCGAGACAGTTCCTTGTCTTTTTCTTCTAACGCTGGTTTGAACATCTACGCCTTATATACATGCATATTTGATGCATAAAAATTATCTCTGCATGCCTTATTGATTTTCAACAACCAGAACAATGATAACCTCTTCTAATAATTAAAATCCCCAAGTCCCTTTTTATCCGTTTGTCTATATATTTAGGCATCCAGACTTCCAATAATAATTGTGAATAAATAAAGGCGATAAATGCCAGTGTAATGCCAACAGTATACAGTCTTTCCTTGTCCTATAGAGACTGTATTAACCTATGATCGATAAAATCACTTTTAGTTTTGCTTACCCAGTCACAGTCTTGTAGGTCATTCTGTGCTGCCCTTTCCCAATATAACCAGTTAGTGTGCAGGGGATGAAAAAGTTTTAGCCAATAAGAATTCATAACCTGGCTAGTTGCCTTTTACTAGACATATAAATTATCAGCATTGTAGGCTTAGTTAAAGCATATTACCTTACAGAGATGATAAGGCTGACTATGTCTTTCTACAGTTACATTGTATTACTTTGTTTCATTGAATATTCCTGTGCCAAACCACATCTAGAACCTGTGGTATGTTTTACAATCTTTTCGCTAATATGGAAATACATATATATATTGCAGAGTCGACGAGATACAGAACATTTTGTCAATGATCCAGAAAGACATGATATTGAATTTGATCATAATGCCTTCTTGGGTGAAGAGGTCGCCAAGGAGTTCTCTCGATTGACACCAGATGAAAGTGAAGAAAAATTGAAGTAAGTTGATGGTTGTAAAACATTTTCGTGGAAAATTCTTGTTTCATTAGAAATATTGTTAGGAAAATCGATAAAGATAGCGATGGGAGAATTACTGAAGCAGAAATGAATTTTTGGATTAAATATGTAGCAGAAAAAGCTAAAATGAACAGTACAGAACGTCAGTGGAAAGATGCAAATCCCACTGGTCAGCCTACAATTAAATGGGAAGAGTATCTGGAGAAAACTTACGGACGTGAAGAAGGTAAATTATTGAATAAAAATAATTTAGTAGTGTATTTTCCAATAAGTGACTAAATCATGTTCACTGGAAATTCATTCATCTCTTTTGCACACTTGAATTACTTCGCAGATATATTACCGAAAGGGTTCTTTAAAAACTATACAGTGTAATTAATACACGTTCCAACCAATGATATGAGGATAGAACTTGTTCACTGTGGTAAAGAACAATTCCATTTTGGATAAAATTTAATATATGTGTAAAGCTTGAGCACTGTAATAATAAGTAATTCCATATTAGTTTGTTTATTAGATGTATCACAGAGTAATGAAACAGTATTTTGTACTGGATGACACAGTTCCGAACACAATTCATTATTGTTCATAATCATTCCATCAATTATGATCACACGACTTCGAAACTTGAGTTTTACCGTTTTCTTTCTTCTCTCCTATCTGTCGTCGTTGGGGTAGCAGAATTTTCCAGATGTCCAACTGGACAGGTGTTGAATCATTCGTATTACACGTGTTTGCAGTTGATTCGATAAACAAAGTTTCTGTTATCGATATCTCCCTCCACCCTGTTACATTAGATTTCAGAACTGTCATCTTATCCCATCCATCCTATTGTATGGTTGTGTGTAACTGCATGTGGTGAGTGTTATAGCTGAACTATTCTCCAGATTTCTAATTTTACTCGGGTCAACTAATCTAGATTTTGCTAGGTTTTTATGCTCGGCTAGACTGACTGCCCCTGTCCCACTAGTTTGACCTATGTATTTCACCTGACAATCATTGCAGATAAGGTATTAGATAAACTAGATTGTTTTGTTTTAAAGGCTCCAAAGGATTAATCGTCTAACCGACAAAGCATGTTTCTAATTGATATGGTGGATAACTGAATGTCAGCCAATTTTATTCCTGCGTAGGGTTTCCGAGGTTCCTTTCTTTAATGGGATTGCTACCGATTATTTAGATTCCCTATTGTTTGTGTTGTCATTGTCTTACGCATGCTTGACATGCATGTCGTCACTAATATTATTATTATCACTATCACTGCTATTATTATTTATTTTATTTTTACATTAACCTGCAAGCTTCCTGATTAATTCGTCAGCTTCTCCTCTTATATGCCTCACTTCCTGTCTTAGATTTTCCTTGGTATTACTTAGCTTTTGTGCTCTATTATAGCACTACATGCAATTACACACAATCATACAATAGGCTGGATGGGATAAGATGACAGTTTTAAAATGGAAGAGAAGGGTGGAGGGAGAGATTGATAACAGAAGCTTTGTTTATCGAATCAACTGAATGAAAATACATGTAATAGGAATGACTCAACACCTGTCCAGCGGGATATCTGGAAAATTCCCCTACCCCTGCGACGACAAATAGGAGAGAAGAAAGAAAACGATAAAACTCAAGTTTCGAAGTCGTGTGATCATAATTGATGGAATGATTATGAACAATAATGAATTGTGTTCGAAACTGTCATCCGGTACAAAATACTGTTTCACGGTGTGATATATCTAATAAACAAACTAATATGGATAAAATTTATTTTGGTAAAGTCTCACATTGTTATACAGTGACATTTACTGATGAGGTTTCGAGCACAATTTATTGCTGCTCATAATCATATCACATTACTCACTCAACTATCCAACTTCGTTTATATGGTTCCACTATTTCTCATCTCCTATTATGATTGTTAGTAATATTTTTTTTCATATTTCTGGTATGAGTGATGAGTCATTCTTATTGAACGTGTCGGGTGTAGACTCGATGAACAAGGATTCAGTAATCAGCCTATCTCTCCACCCACTTATATTACTTCTTAGAATTTTAACCCTCTCCCACCACCCTATTGTGTGGTTTTGTGTTAATGCATGCAGTGCAATTACTGAGCTTTTCTCTAAATTACTTATCTTCGCGGGTGGGACCAATCATTCTGAGGTTATCTAAATTCTTATGTTCCGACAATCTGACTACTTCCGATCTATTAATTTGACCTGTATAGTTGACCTCACAGTCATTGCAAGGTGTTTTGTAAATTATATTATTTTCAGAACAAAATAGTTAGAGCGAACAATTGTGGTTTCAATAAATTCTTCTTCAGGCTCTACAATTATAAATCCACTAATAAATTTAAGCATACAATAGCCAGCTAGTAAAGGCAAATTAGAATCATATCAGAAAGTGTATTGTGGAACAAGTATAAGATGGAATGGAACGACGCTCAGTTAGTATTTTAGTATTCATGGTCAATGAGAACATGAGATGAAGTAATTTAATTTAATGATGTGCGTGTATATTTATATATATGTATAAATATAGTCAACAGAAAAATACAGGTTTCGAGAGTGAGTGCAATCAGGGTGTGTGGGACAATATGAAAATAAACCAGCGAATGGGGCGGACTAGACATAAGCTCAAGGTTGAAAATAACGACATTAAGAATGATTGTAAAATCATAACCATGATGTGGGGTAAATTTAAAAGTACTATTGGTGAATGATTATCAAATAATAAGAATAATGAATATAGTGAAGTGGAATGAACAGGATTTTGTAAATACGATAACTAACTGACTATTGTTGCAGCCCATCTTATACTTGTTCCACAATACACTTTCTGATATGATTCTAATTTGCCTCTACTAGCTGGCTATTGTATGCTTAAATTTATTAATGGATTTATAATTGTAGAGCCTGAAGAAAAATTTATTGAAAACAATTGTTCGCTCTAAATATTTTGTTCTGAATAAATTATGGGAATATTCAACTTATTTTATTTTGTTTAATTGGGTCCACCGGGTCCTTTAGCCTACGGAGCTTATCTCTGAGTGAGTTTGTAGGTTTGAATGCCACTCTACGTAGGGCCTCAGATGTCCCTCCTTTATATGCTTTGTATTCTCTCTTATTTATGGTATCATTATTAGTTTCACCATTATTTTCATTTTGCTTTTGACCCATTTTGATATACCTAATGAATTTTATAGGATAGTTATTTGACACCAACGCTTCTTCTATCTGTTCCATTTCATCGTTTAGGTCTTTTTTTGTGCTACTTAGTGATCTGGCTAGGTTCGTCAGACACTTAAGCAAGCTAGTCTTTACACACAACGTATGCGATCAATTAGAGTCTAAATATCTATTAGAATGCGTTGGCTTTTTATGAACGCTAATGTGCAGTTTACCTTCTTCTGTTCGTTTCATTTTAAAATTTACCATACGTGGTTCTCCTTGTTCATTTTGTGATTCAAATGGGAATTTTACTCCCTTGATTAGTGAGTTTATATGCATCAAGAAGCTAGAGACATGTTCTCTTTGCAACAGTGTGTGTGAGTGTCATCCACATATCTCCACCATATTACCTTTGGAGTAGGATTAAATGTACAAAGAGCTATATTTTCCCACCTAACCAAAAGGATTATCGATTTAAGCGTAGAACCTCGGCACTGTGGTAGAATGTAATTCCATATTAGATTAGTTTACTTTTAACAACTCGTTGTCTTTTCAAACATAAATTGTTGTTCATAATCATATAAGTTTTAGTCGCACGGTTCCACAATTTATCTTTATATATATATATATATATACTGTACGTTGCCACTTTCCATATATCCGGGATGGGTGTTGCATCATTCTGATTGCACGTGTGTGGTGTTGAATCGATAAACACAGCTTCAGTGGTTAACCTCTCTCTCCACCAAACTATGTTACTTTTTAATACCCTCCATAAGGATATCTGCTACTACTGAGAATATTGGTGATCCTATTGCTACACCTTCTGTTTGTTTATATATTTTGCCCTATAAATTAGAGACAGTAAATATGAGGCATAACTGAATTCCTAAAATAACTTTCTCAATGGGCAGTTTTGTTATATGGCTAAGTTCGGGATCAGCAGTTAGTTCCCTTTTAACTGCTTCTAAAGCCATATTGATCGGTGTGTTAGTGTACAGGCTAGTCATACCAAAATTGATCATTTTTTCATTATTCTCTAATTGACTGTCATTTAGCTTCCTTTTCACTTCATATAAATTAGTGAGTTTAAAGTTTGATTGATTTCTAATGGGACATAATATTAGAGCCAAGTGTTTTGATAATTCGTAAGTAGGGGTATTTCTGAAATCTACTATTGGTCATATGGGTAACCTGGCTTATATATATATATATACTTTTATAGTATCGTATAGGCATTAAATAAAGCCATTTTATCCACAATGGAATAATACGCCCAAAGCAAGTTCGCATTTATTGACTTGAAATAATATGAGCATTAGGTATGTACAAGATCTTTTATAATACTGTACTGTATTTACTTAATATTAGCTGTTCCCTTACCTGAATTAATATTCATACTAAACTTTCTGAAATTCAAGGCTCACTTTTGTTCTGTACCTAAAAGTTAAGAGAGATTATTGAGTTCCAGCTCTGAAGATTCTGGATAATCCAACTGAATTATAAAACTTTCCCTAATTTTTAGCAAATGTTGTTTTCAAGGAAAACCAGACCTTAGGATATTTACAATATTTTCATAATGCAGATCCCTTCAACCGACGTTTCAATAATTTTTGTAATATATATTGGAAAATAGTGACACGCTGCAGTTATTCATTTAATTCTTCTCTATAGTCGGGAAGCACTCCAGGCTAAACACCACATATTAGAAACTGAAACAGTATTGTGTTCAGATCGATGTTCTTTCAAATCATCAGCTACATTCACCAAAAGGACTTTGATAGAAAGTAAACTGTGCAGTTAGTCATAATAATAATAATGGTTATCTAAGCAACACAGAGAAGCTCTAAGAGAACTTAGAAGTAACGAAAGCTTAATCATTATTAGAAGGCCAGATAAATGTGACGGTACAGTTTTACTGGACAAAAGCGATTAGGTTGAGAAAATGGAAGGTATTTTGATTGATCAAACTAAATTCCAATCTCTTGGTGTTTCCAAAGACCTCAGTGTAACAGTGGAGAAATTAATGACCGACTCTCTCAAAACACTGAACTAAATAGGAGTATTATCATCAGCCACGTATGAGTCCATGAAACCGACGGGTACCGGCACTCCACGTCTTTACGGTCTACCCAAAGTGCACAAACCGGGCCTTCCTCTTCGCCCTGCTTTAGGCATGTATAACTCTCCATTTCACGGAACAGCGAAGTGGTTAGTGAAGATTCTGGGACCCTTGCACAGGAAAATCGTGCAACATAGAATTAGTTATGTCTTCGACTTTATTTCTAAAATATCCAAGACCAATGTGAGGTATAAACGCAGGTTATCCATGGATGTATCATCATATATTCACTAATGTACCGCTTATGGAAACAGTAGATTATATTTGTCAAGAAATCACCGAAAGGCAATTAGATTTAGGAATCCCCTTGTGTAGCCTCAAAGAATTGTTTCTTAAATGCACAATGAATGTTCACTTTGTCTTAACTAATTCATACTATCGACAAGTAGATGGAATAGCTATGGGTTCACCATTAGGCCCAATATTAGCTGACTTCTTTCTCGCAAAACTTGAAAACGGGAAATTGAAAAACATCATCAAGCAGTTTGATATGTATTACCGATATGTCAATAATACATTCATCCTAGTTGATGGGAATGCAAACATAGACGAATTGTTGATGAAATTCAACAACATCCACCCTTTGCTTACTTTTACTTGTGAAGGGGAGCAGGATAGTAAACTAGATTTTCTGGGTGTCTTGCTAAGTAGGCGAGAACATGGGTCACTTGGGAGAAGCGTGTATAGAAAAAGCACATTCACAGGGCAATACACACACTTCCTTAGTTACGTGCCCATTAAATATAAAAGGAATGTTGTTAAATGTCTTGCGAGTATAGCAAGAAATATATGTACGTATGACTTCTTACAAAAGGAATTTCAATATATTCACAATTCCTTGACGGAGATGGACCATCCGAGTAGTTTCATAAAGAAACAAATGGAGACATCAGAGAGAAAACGCGAGACTTTGACTACACGTAGAAAACCTCTATTTATTAGGTAACAATTTAATGGTGACTTATCAAGTGAGATTTTATTCCGGAGACTTTCCAGGAGTGTACGAAGAACGTTTTACGCAGCACACCTATATTTGTCATTCTCAAGCCGACGAATGATTGGGACGCAAACGAAGAAAATAAATGTTCCAACCAACAAGTCATAATGAGCTTTTCAATTTAACCAGACTGTCGAAATTTCTCCCCGTTCATAACAGGAATTTCCTACTGACAGTATACGGCACATGTTGTTAAGTCATTCAAACATTTAAGATTATTAGTGAGCCAGAATTTGGACACATTTATTCTAATATACCTGAATCTCTTAATGTCGTGTTTTTTTATCGTCAGCCACCTTTTCTATTGTAACTAAACCATGTAGCTCTCCTGACATTTTGATATACAGCCTAGCAATCGATAAGACCAAAGAAAGGTACATGAACTACCATATTTTTTAACCTTGGTTTTATACGTCAAAGACATATGAGTCATTAAAACCAGAATGGGAGACTATTTATCTTATTTAGTCGGAAAATAGTGTCTGCCGAAAACAAATGATTAACATAATAATTTCCAGAAGAAAACTAAGGGCGTCATTCATTGATTTTTTGGGGAAAATTTGTATTTCATAGTCCAAATGAAAAAGTGAATTTAGTGTGACTAATTCTGTTGTAATAATTTAATCTCCTTTTGTCGATTAAATTCACTATTAAATTATTTTCTAACTAGTCTTTTCCTCAAATAACTGATATTTTATGCTTAAGTGTTGTTTAGCGATAGAATCTTGGTGGTGGATTTTATCTCATACAGGTTTGATTCACTGATCATAATTACCAGAGTCTTCGGTGGTTTTCTTGTTGATCCTACTGAAACCTAGTAATGTTAATATATGAGTAATAGGATAGCACTTATCCCGAATTCCACACGTAACACATTACCAAGTAGCAATACGTGATATCCATTTGCAGATAGGCGTATTCGGCACACTTGAATCAACAGTGAAAAGTTAAATATACATCGCAGATATGCATGCATACAAAGGAATGTAAGTCTTCGCATGAAGCCCTAACATGAGTCTTATCTAGGAGGCATTGTTTCAACCACAGGCGGCCCAGATGATGAGGATGTCAAAAACCAGAATCGGAAAGGCAAGACTCACCTTCACCCATTCTGAAATGGGTTTGGAAATCTTCTGCACTCAGTCAACATAGAGGAATGAAGTCCAAATTTTCATTACCAGTGTTAAGCCAGTTCTTCTGTGTTGGTCAGAAATTTCACTCACACATCAAGAAAAACATTTCTGCAGACTTTTATCAACAACTACCTTCACTTGCTCCATAGTGAAGATCGGATGACTTTGGAGGGTGGGGAAAAGCAACAAGAAACTCTGGGAACGAACCAATCAAGAATCTGTTGTTGAACAAGTAGGCAGAAGAAAATGGAGATGTATCAGACAGACACTGGGGAGACCGCTGAGTGATAGTGAACGTCAGGCCGTACGTCAAGTGGAATGTGGATGGAAAACGACGAGTTGGGCGTTAGAGTGGCCTGAAGGAGAAGATGGCTTATTTGCAACTGTGTATCCAGTTGAAGAGGATTGCGGGAAAAGGGACAAAATGGAGATGTAATGTTTAAGCCCTATTTTCTACCCGAAACTCAAGGGAATAATAATAATGGTCGGTATCATTTCTGTCAGTGAACACAAATATAGAATCCTTGCAACACTCAGCTATCACAATAATGCCAACAGTCAAGTACATGGTCCCATGTTCTTTTTTCTTCGCAGTTTAGTCCATAAGGTGCGACAAATGACTTTAAAAATGTATTCATTAGGCTATTTACTAACCAAAAAGTGACCTGCTTAAAACATACTCAGACTCCCATTCGACACTAGTAACTAGTGTGACGTGTCTAGTCCCATCTTCGGTGCAGACTGAATTCTATCAGTCAAGTTTTCAATGTGGCCACCATGCCACTAGGTAGCTCGCCATCACGGTGCACATTGATTTGATGATATTAGCTCAGTGGTAACGTCTCTGACTGCAGCACTGGCTGGTGACGCTGGTTCGAATCTCAGAAGGGACATGAGTCCTTCAAGGTTGCAGATACGCCTTGCTGACTGGTGAGTGCCGAATAGCACAAAACCTGAGTGCAGCCAAGGCTTCCTGTGGCCGATTGTCTCCAACCATCTAATGCCAACAATTCATAGTACACCGTGATGGCGAGCCACCTAGCATGCTGGTGGCCACATTACAAGCTTGATTGATAGAACTCAGTCTGCACTGAAGATAGGACTAGACACATTACACTAGTTACTGACTAGCGTCCAATGAAAAATATCAAGATGAAACTTTCGTTCACTTTCGGACCTGTCACTTGGATACATAAAACAAGCGTTTTGGATTCCACAGTTATTCATCACCACACAAGTACACTAAGTGGCAGTTTCCAATCTTTGCTGTCGTAATATATCATTTCAAAAAGAATTTATGTAAAATGAGAAACATATGAGTAGCATAAGTGAATTGGTGGCAAATAATTCTCGCAACCATTGAACCTTGAAATATTACTACTCACCGGATAGTCAGCTGAAATATAATTCTACAGTTTTAAGACCCAGTTTTCCCAGCTCTAATTATTCTTCTTGATTTGTCTACGGAAAAAAAATACACTCAAAGTAAATACTCATTCATTGCAAATGAACAATTTAAGGTGTACGACCCTGACAGCATAAATTCAAATACAGAAAATATACAAAATACCAAGTCACATTCGAACTTACTTAAATATAAACTTTACAGACTATGGAATCTTGTGTAAATAAAATGATTTGTTCTATCTGTTGTTATGCAACGAATGTGAGGTCAAATAGGCGGGTCGAAGTAATGGGCTAGGTAAAATCTACATTATTTTACCCTTAGTAAGATAAGCATTCTGAGAAAATCTCATCGACAGCACTAAATGAAGACACGCAATTATCCAGTAAGATAGAATAAAGTGATAGTTAAATCATCTAACAGTGCATGCAACAGGAATGATCTAGCATTTATCTTGGGTATCTTGAAAATTCCAACAGCTGCATGACCAGTAAAAGAGAATAACTAGAACTATAAAAATCTTCAAGTATTGGTTTGGTAGGGATTTTGTTTAATTGCATGGAGGATTTCATCATGAGCTGACATCAGTTGCAGTTAGAATTCAAGGACCATTGGATCGGGTCCCAGTGGCTTAATGGTCTACGAGCTCGCCTTGTAACCAGAAGGTCCTTGGTTCGAATCCCGGTGGGCGCGTGCCGATGAAGGACGAAACAGCTGTCCAGTCCTTCCAGGTTTTCCAATGCTTCCCTAACTGATGTCAGCTCATGATGAAATCCTCCATGCTATAAAAATCTGCCTGAGGATCTGCAGATGTACACTGGACATAAATGTAAACAGAAAGTTGTGTTTGAAAAGTAATCCTGTAAATACCACTGTTTCACTATGTAATCTACCTAATAACAAGTTTCACACATCAGTGTATCTAAGCTTGAAATAATTTTAATCGTCCTTTAACTTATTTATAGAGTTTGTTAAATGCCATCGTTATCTAAGTACCCGAGAAATTCTTCAATTCACATTTCACTTCGTTTAACACTGATTCTAGTTCTGATTGTTCTTACATTTTTATATTTCAACCTAAACACTTGTAGATAGACTGAGAGATGAAGCTACTGCTGAGTCCTATAAAGAAGCTGTTCGTCATGATCGTCGACGATGGGTTGCTGCCGATATCAATAAGGATAATGAGCTGAATAAATCAGAGTTCACGGATTTTGTACATCCCGAAGATAGACCACATATGCGGGATGTTATCATTGATGTAAGTGCTATAATTTTTAGACTGTGCATGGCAAATAAATATGTACTATATTATCAATATTATATCAAGTACTACGGCGTACCCCAAATATTCATCAACCTTATTCAACAGCTGTACGACAACGGCACATGTCAAGTGATCCACAACGGAAAACTCAGCGAAGCGTTTGGAGTAAACACAGGAGTCAGACAAGGGTGCTTACTATCACCAATGATATTCCTAATTGTGGTGGACTGGATTATGCGTCAGACAGTGGGAAACGAGAAGATAGGCATATCCTGGACCGACGTGAAGGACCTAGAAGACCTGGATTTCGCAGATGATTTATGTTTGATGTCACACAAAATAGAAGACTTACAAGCGAAAACCGACAAACTGGTCGAAGAAGCTGGCAGCAAAGACAGGACTGCAGGTGAACATAGACAAGACGGAGGTCATGAAAATAACCAACCAACAACAACAACAGCAGCAACATCCAGCGCCAATCACCACCAACGGGAGGGATTTGAAAGAGGTCACTTCATTCACTTATCTAGGGAGCATTGTCTCAACTACAGGAGGAACGGACGAGGATGTCAAATCGAGAATCGGGAAGGCGAAAAACACATTCATCGACCTGAAACCAATATGGAAATCTTCGTCACTCAGCCTGCATCAACAACAAAATTCGGATTTTCAATACAAACGTCAAGTCAGTCAGTTCTTCTATACGGATAGATCAGAAACTTGGCGGGTCATCAAGAATATTTCCAACAGCCTGTTGCAGACCTTTATCAACAACTGTCTACGTTCTATACTGAAGATCAAATGGCCGGAAAGAATCACAAACAAGAAGCTATGGGAACGAACAAGACAAGAACCAATCACTCAACAAATATGCAGGAGAAAGTGTAGATGGATTGGACACTCGCTGAGGAGGCCGCTGGGTGACATTGCGCGTCAGGCCCTCGAGTGGAACCCGAAAGGGAAGCGGCGAGTGGGACGTCCAAGGGTGACATGGAGGAGATCGTGTGAAGAAGAGTTGAAACAGTATGAACTAATATGGATGCAGGTAAAAGGTACAGCAGAAGACAGAAGCAAATAGAGACGTACAGCTGAAGCCCTATGTTCCACTAGGAACCCAAGGGAACAATAATAATAATAATCAATATAGGTTTTGTAGGGATTTTGTCTGATTGGATGGAGGACTTCATCATCAGCTGACATCAGTTAGAGAACCACTGGAAAATCTGGGAGTACTTGACAACCGTTTCATCCTAGTTTGGGACTCTTCAGCGACTGGTGATATTCAGGCAGTTAGCCTGGGGTTCTAGTGGGAAGTCGTGACCAGTAGGGTACAGCAGGTTGAAGGTGAGGCAGTAATTCATAGAAGACATTGCGAAATGGTCGAGCTATGTAGTGAACTGGTAGAAGTTAGAATTGATGGACTGGCCATTTGATTGGGTCTCAGTGCCCAAATGGTCTACGACCTCGCCTTGTAACCAGAAGGTCCTGGGTTCGAATCTCGCTAGGTGGTTGCGTACTAATGAAGAGTCCCAAACTGGAACGAAACAGCTGTCCAGTAGTCTTAGTTGCTTTTCCAGTGGTTCTCTAACTGATGTCAGCTCATGATGAAATCCTCCATCCCATGTACTACATGACTTATTTCACCATCTTGACCGCATGGACGATGACGTTAGATACATGTCATAACAGCCGGTAAATCATAGATACACTTAAAAATATTCATGTTCTTTCAATTCATAACTTAGGGAAGTTGACAGCTAGCAAACATTTTTTGGGTTTTCCATTAATTAGTGTTATAAACAAATTTTGTGGAAAATCCCTCCTAGACGATCTATTTATAATATTTATACTTATTCAGACATTCCAACTTTGTAATTAGAATTTAATTGGTAGATAGTCATTAGCAGTGGAATCCAGGATGCCCATTTCGTCCTATTTGGGACTCATCAATGGATGTACCGCCATTGCCCAGTGAGTGATGAGTTCCCACCGAGGCTTGAATCCATCCACCAATTAAATTCTTATTACATGCCCAGAGATCGTCGAAGCATCTGCACAAGTAGCCGACGTGTCAACCTGAGACCGAGCACTTCGGCCCAATCGTCGGGAAAATCTAAAATTCAGTTAAATAACTTTGTAATTACTATACAAACTTCCCTTAGACTGTGTATCATTAATCTGACATCAACATGCATACTACATGTTGATTTTCACCTTTATTATTCTCCTCTGTCCTTGCTTAATCTCTAGTTGTCATACTTCTTAGTTTAGTTGTGTGTGCACTGACAATGTGTTGTTTTATGATATGTGTTTGTTTGAGTGAATGAAGGTTATTCTTACCTAGGACGACTATCTGCGGGAAGCCTTGCTGTGTGATTCTTGTAGACAGAGCTTTTGAGCCCACCTCGTTGTGAAAATTCTCCTTGATTCTAGGGTACTAGTTTTGTCTTGCAGTATTTGTTTTGTATTTAGAAACATCTATTGCCTATACAGCTGTATCACGTCAGTGTTGAGGTAAATTTGTGTCTTGATGTCAGCGCTGTTTAGTAGAACCGCTAAAATGTTGAAAAATGATCGTCTTTTTCATTCCTTTGGAGCGTTTCGTGATAGCGCGTGTCACAACAAGTTCTGTCGGCTATACAATAGAACGTAGACATTAATTTCGTGCATTCAGACGATTATTGACTAAATTTGGTAGTTACAATTGGTTGTATCTGATAAGACTTTGTTATCATCAAGACAAATGAAAGTTGACGTAATCATTCCAAAATTGTAGATGTTGTAGACACTTCGTGAACATCTTATCAAAAAAATGATCATTTTCTTTTCACTGACTTCATAAATCCCACCATTTTTTAAAACAGATCGGTTTTTCTTTCTATTCACAGGAATTGCTTGAGTCTGTTGACAAAGATAAAGATGGATACGTATCTGAAAAAGAGTATTTAGGTGAGTTTTTGTATATTCAAGTGTAAACTTCAATGTGGTACTGGTATTATTTGTCTCAAGTCAAAATTTACGTTAATCTGAGTTTCTCCTAGACTCATTATAATGGATAGAAATGGTCGGTGTCTGTTGGCACTTGAAACGATGAGTGCAGTGTTTGACTCTAACTGGCAACACCATCACTTGTTGCACATGTACATATGGCCAACGAGTCCCGAATAGAACAAAATGAGTATCCTAGATTCCACTGTTAGGCACCATCAGCCAAAATGATTTGAGTATACTCACTTATTCCAGAGTAGCAATATATCTATGGCTTAAATATTTTTTGTCTTCACACTCCATATGCATTGATAAACAAACCTGATGCACCGGATAACGAATACATCCTTTTCAAATGGTCCTTACAACTGAATTTATGCAGTGGTTTTCACTCTGATTTAGTATCAAGTAAACAGTAATTTAAAAATTTACAGGATTGAATGGTTATTTTGTTCAGTAGAGTATTAACACCGCTACAGTGAATCTATCCTATAATTGGATGGAGGATTTCATCATGAGCTGACATCATTTAGAGAACCACTGGAAAACCAAATGGGAATACTGGACAGCTGCTTCAACCTATCTTGAGACTCTCCGGCAGTACGCACCCACCTAGTGGGGTTCGAACCCTGAACCTTCTTGTACAAGGCCAGCTAGGCTGTAGACCGTTGAGCTAATGGGACCGGATCCAATGTCCCGCCCATATTCTAACTTCTACCAATTCACGACATAGCGCGACCATTTCGCAATGACGAAACAGCTGTCCAGTACTCTCAGCTGGTTTTCCAGTGGTTCTCTAACTGATGTCAGCTCACCATGAAATCCTCCATCCAGTCACACAAAATCCCTACGAAACCAATACTTGAAAATATCGTATAATTGTCAAGTTTCATGACAAATGTATAAGTGCCCATGAAAACATGCTCTAATCCACTATCTGCAACTTTCACCTAATTCTATCAATAATTGTCTCTTTTAAAATTTGAATTATCTTAACTTAATAACTCATAAATTCCCTTCAACATTTTTGAATTTATCTATGAGATGATGTCTCTTTTTGTCATATAATGATTTTCTTACTTCTAAAGTTGAAATATATCACATCTTGGGAATTATTCGTTCACCAAGCTGAAAGCATAGGTTACTGACTATCAACAATATAATGTTAAGTATCAGATGGCTGGAGGCAATCGACCACAGAAAGCCTTGGCTGCACCTAGGTTTCGTGCTAGTTGGCACTCACCAGTCAACAAGGCGTATCTGCAACCTCCAGGAAACTCATGTCCCTTCTGAGATTCGAACCCGCATCACCAGGCAGTGCTGCAGTCAGAGACATTACCACTGAGCTATTCAGGCTGGCTCGCGATTGACCTCCTGTAGGACTGTAGTGGGTACTTTGATTGGACACTAGTAACTAGTGTGATGTGTCTCGTCCTTAAGTACCACTGTCAGTCCAGATTCATGGAAGAGTAAGTGTTTACCTTTTTCTAATTTACCTGATTCTAACTGGATTAGCTGCATCCTAGATACAAAGTTTATTTTTTATCACCTGTCTGTTATCATTATATGAATTCCAACATCTCAGCACACTTTGACAGCTAGAATTTTGTACTTGAACGTGATTTTTTAGAAATCTATCACTCGCATATACTAGTAGCATTGCCAACAGCTGGAACTGACTCAGCTGAAATCTTTCATAGTGGAGAGAATACGAATTCACTTGAGAAATTCAGCCACACATTGTAAGCTAATCTGAACACGAAGTAACGTGTAAAATACCGTTGTTCAATAAAAAAATAATTCAGCTAGTCTGATCCAAATGACTTGTACCACTTTAGTCTGGTAAGGAGTAATCTTTATCTGTCTGCTGAAACAAGAAAGTCCAAGTAATCACAGCTGAGCTAAACAATTCTGCCTTCTGCAAATAAAGTAAATTCCGACGTATGTGTAGAGCAAATTTCAAGTGTCGTTTAAATGACAGTTACTTTTAAGTGAGTAAAAAGAAATTTAGTTGGTCTACTTCAACAAAACTCTTCTTATTTTGTAATGGATAAAACAAAAAGTATATAGTAGTTCATGTGTAAAACGTGGGCACTGTGGCAGTATGCAATTCCATATTAGTTTGTTTATTAGATATATCACACAGTCAGGGAAACAGTATTATTAACTAGATGGCATTTCGAAAAAAATTTATTGCTCATAGTCATGTCATCAATTATAATCACACGACTTCGAAACTTGAGTTTTATAGTTTTCTTTGTTCTCTCCTATCTGTCATCGTTGGGGTAGTAGAATTTTCCAGATATCTGGTTGGACAGGTATTGAATCATTCCCATCACACGTATTTGCAGCCTGTTTCTAAACCTAGTTTTACTGACATAGGATTGGTGAAATGTTTAAGAAATAGAGCACAAAAACTAAGTAGTACCAAGGAAAATCTAAAACAGGAAGTGAGGCATATAAGAGAAGCTCTGCATCTTGAAAATTACCCTGATAAATTAGTCGGAAAGTATGTGGGGAAATGTAAAAATAAAATAAATAATAATAGTAGTGATAGTGATAATAATAAGGATAATAATAATAATATTAATGACGACATGCATGCAAAACATGCCCAAGCCAACACCAACAATAAGGAATCTAAATCATCAGTAGTAATTTCCTATCAGGAAGGAACCTTGGAACCCTTACACAGAATTCTTAAGAAGGCGAGAATAAATGTGTCTGGCATTCAAACCCACAAACTCAATTAGAAACAAGCTTTGTCGGTTAGAGTATCAATCCTGTGGAGCCAACTAAACAAAACAATTTAGTCTATCTAATACCCTGCCTGCAATGATTGTCAGGTCAAATACATAGGTCAGAGTAGTAGAACAGAGGCAGTGAGTCAGTCTAGCCGAGCATAAAAACCTAGCAAAATCTAGATTAGTTGACCCGAATAAGATGAGAAATCTGGAGAATATTTCAGCTATAACACTCACCACATACATTTGCGCACAACCATACAATATAGGATGGGATAGGATGACAGTTTTAAAATCTAATGTAACAGCAGGGCGAAGAGAGAGATCGACAACGGAAGCTTTATTTATCGAATCAACTGCAAACACGTGTAATAGGAATGATTCAACACCTGTTCAGTCGGACATCTAGAAAATTCTACTACCCCTATGACGACAAATAGGAGAGAACAAAGAAAACTATGAAAATGAAGTTTTGAGATCGTGTGATAATAATTGATGGATGATTATGAACAATAAATTTTGTTCGAAACTGTGTCATCCAGTAAATAATACTGTTTCATCACTGTGTGATATATCTAATAAACAAACTAATATGAAAAAGTATCTATAGTGTTCCTAGCCAGAAGTGGAAAGTTAGAAAGAAAAGAACAGGTTGAAGTCATTTAACATTTTGATAGGTTATCCGAATACGCATGACTTTGCCTGAACTGGAGACCAATTAGGTAATGAGAAAATATACGAAATTCTTGACGGTAAGCATTATATCTGCAGATCTTTTCAAAATGCCATGTTAAACGTAGTCGTAAAACAGCCTGAAAGATCAGTAATATCTGAGAAATTAATCCAGTATGATGAAAGGTCAAATACACCTAAAGTAAGACTTATAGAAGGAAAAATTCAGTTGGGTCTCCAGTTGTCCAGATTACAAAGATTGTGAACCTATCACTGTTTTCAGATGACCACACTAAACACACAGAATACTAGGCACAATAACTGACGCAGAATAACAGAAAACGAAATGACAGTACGATCGTTTATTCCTCCAGGGATTTCAAAACAGAATTACAAGTTACTATGTGGAAGATCTATAAATAAGCGTTCATAGAATATACAACAATACGTCTGATTGTATGTCTCGATTCCTCCGCCAACCAGCATACAACTAAGCAGCGTTAACCGCTGTTGCCTCCCACCAAGTGGAAACCAGTTGAAATAAACAAAAATTCAATTTTCACTAACACTGATATGGGTAGTAAATAATTGAACACTTTACAAAGTAGCTTTATATTAGTTCATACAATCATATCACTGTTACTTCAGTTTCCACTCACGACACAGTGTTTGTTTTCACTATTAAATAGGATGTACTATAACACAGAGTATAATCACTAAGCAGCTACATTCTACGCTGCATAGACTAATTTCCTTCTCCAGTAATTCCTTTACAATGTAAAATTCAAACTATCTATATATACCATTTAGTCTGCTTAGTTTGTTTGTAATAAAAGTTCCTATTTATCCTACTAGAATCGCTCCTGATGGCATCTGAGTTTTAAGGAGATAGTGGTTGGCTTATGGAATTAAAAGGCAGTTACCACTGTATTTAATGCAACGATTTTTCACAATACAATGTAATTAACGTTACACGTTGTTTGCGCATGTGTTATGCATGCCTAACAAACCATCGCCTTCCTCGACGGGCAATGTTAGCTGACATAGAGTCATGTTGGAAAAGAGTAACTGGCGGTCAAACCAAAACATGGCTTCATCAGCAGGTGAAATCCACAACAGTTAGTTTGAGCCGGTGATGTAGGAAGATGTAGACTTCCTGACTGGTTGGGGTCCTCGGGACGGTAAACACAAATGACAGCTGGAGACAACTGATGATATGGCTCAAAATCGTTCTCAATGGCTGTTGGAAATGCATTCACTCCTTGTGACTTATAATACCCAATAAAACTATAAATTTCTTCGATATTATTATTCTTTATGCCTCATTTTTCTGTCCACTGTCTCTATTTTGCGTTTCTTTTTAACTTTCTTCTCTGGCTTTATGTGCTGAATGAAGTGTAGCGACTCGAACTGCTGCACATCAGTGCAAAGTTCTATGTTGAAACCAGTCAGTCAGTCACACGTTGTTTGCAATAATCAAGTTCTTGTGCGTGGCTTGCTTTTTAACATTCTATGAATGTGATTACTATTGGCAGTTATACAGTGATCATAGCTACCCTTGTTCATTAGCATTCCTTAACCCTCCACTGATAGGACATAAACCTTGGTAAAATCTAGGTTGATTTTCGCTATCTAAAAAAAGCTAATAATGTTTTTATGATCAATTATTTTATACCCAACAGCTGATCTTGCGCGTGCCTATCAAAGCACTCCACTGAGCGAGAATGAACCTGAACCAGAATGGGTTGAACGTGAACGAGGTCAATTCCGTCGATTCAGGGATATCGATCAAGATGGTAAAATGGATAGGGCAGAAGTTGGTGAATGGATAATGCCGACGAACTATGATCCAGTCGATGCAGAAACAAAACACTTATTTTATCATGCTGATACTAATAAAGTCAGTTTGACTTAGGTTTTTTTTTGTTTTTGATAAATATTTTGTGCGTCAGTGATTTAGCGATAGAATTCCAGCTAGCCAGACACGTAATTCACGTTTGACTGCTGGACAATGCCACTTCTAAACCTCGACTAGTTGGCATTAAGCTCGGTAAACAGGGAACTTTTGGTGTGAAGCTAGCAATCCCACCATTTTGAAAACACAAGTGCTACTGGAACTTCAAGCATCAAGCTTTATGTTCCATAGGGAAAACATGAGGAGGAAAAAATTGTCTGAAGTGAGCTGAGAAGATAATATATTACAGAAAAGGTGTATCAATTCAAGTTGTCAACCTTCGGAAAAATAGAACTAGCAATTTATACATCTTGCATTTTAAATCATTTAGTTGCTTTTTTTGAAAAACACTTACATTAATTAGGATTTCAATATATTCTTCACATTTTCAGTCAAACAAGAGAAGAAGCAACATTCCTTTTATATTCCTCATCAGATATGATGGGTAAGATTTGTAGATCAGGTGGACGATACTGATGTGGTTGTGTTCCCTGATCTGGATGGTTTATTTGTGAAGCTTTCATTACCCTCTAATAGGCAACATCTTCACCTTATACTTCAATTCGTTGAAGTCACCTTTCCGAATTTTCCACGAATTTAGCTTATAAGTCATCTGTCCTGGTGGGTGACCATCAACGTCGTGATTGATTGTTTGTTTTCACACCCTCTAGACAGCTACTTGTATTGTATTGCATTGTATTGGAACTGATTGTTTCCTTGACTTGAACTTTGACCCCTTGTATGTGAGATTTCCTTCTTATCTATTGGTAAATTTCGTCTATATCAATGTGTCTATTGATTGTCTATTCACTGGATTACCGAAGAGGCTTCTAAAAATTCACTAGAATTCTTAGTGTTCCCCCTATCTAATATTTCATGAAAAGACATGTACCCTCAAGCCAACCTAACAAACCAAAGGCACCAGAAATCATCACAAGTTTCTTCAAACCTTCAGGAATTGACGTCGCACACAAACCAACAAAATCAATTCAATCAGATGGCTCTATGTCAACCAAAAGACTCAACAACGAAAACAGATAAAACCAACATCATCTACAAAATAAATTGTAACAACTACGAAAAACACTACATTGGCCAAACTGGACAGCCCCTTCGTCTTCGCATCCATGATCACAAGCTAGCCGTCAAAAGACATGACATCCACTCCCTCATATCGCCTCACTGCATACAGACAACCACGGACATCAATTCGACTGGGACAACCAACGTTCAAATATTAGACAGGGGGAACACTAAGAATTCTAGTGAATTTTTAGAAGCCTCCTCGGTAATCCAGTGAATCGCCAATCGATATACACATCGAGATCGACAAAATTTACCCACCGATAAGAAGGAAATCTAACATACAAGTGGTCAAAGTTCAAGACAAGGAAACAAACAGTTCCTATACAATACAATATAATACAAGTAGCTGCCTAGAGGGTGTGAAAACACACAAAACACACAACCAATCACGACGTTGATGGAGAACTCTGAAAGGTGACTTCAACAAATTGAAGTATGAGCTGGAGATCTTGCCTATTAGGGGTCAATGTAAGCTTCTCAAATAAACAATCCAGCTCAGAGAACACAACCATATCAAAATAGTCCTCTTCAAAAGTACGTCTGCTAGAATATTATGTCACAATAAATGCTGTTCCTATGTACGGACTAGCTGACATAAAGCTTGAATTTTGAATATTTTTAATAAGGCATCAAGTTCTCTTTGTTAATATCTTTCAGCATTTTCACCAATAATAGAGATTCCTTGTATCTTTGAATATACTCGCATTTAAAGTAGATCAAATCTGTACTGCATAAAGTCTCAGGAATTCAGTCGGAAAATAAATTTAACTTCTTATATAAATGAAAGCCAATCTCATCTCTATTATAACCTGTTTTTTTTCATACTTTTACCTTCTTAGGATGGATTATTATCTGAAGAAGAAATTATCATGAAACGTGACATCTTCGTCAGTAGCCAGGCTACAAATTATGGAAGCGCACTTCAACATCATGAAGAACTTTAAATCTAGCACAAATATTTTAACAGACTTTCAAAAGTCGTAACACTTGAAACTTTTATTAATTCAGTGAAGTATTTTCATTTTTTGGAATTTTCGGGTGTTTGTGTGTGTGTTTCCTTTTCGGAATGTCTACAGTATCTCGTTTTTGTAAGATGGAAAGGCATGCAAGTGACGTATCTGATGAAGTGAAAAAAAATTTAACTTATTCATTGGTTATTTGGTGTTGTTTTTTTTTTTGTCTTTTCTGAAATTGTCTTTCTTTAAATTTGCCTTTCTAAGTAATTTGCATATCAATGCATTCTTGTCAATTATGCTTCAAGTTATGCTGGTTCGTTAATATAAAAAGAAGAAAAGTAAACTGGACATTCTTCAGGGTTTACAATCTCGTTTCAGTGTTAAGATGGTATCTAAGTACTCAGGATAATAATTCCTTCATCAAACTAAGAATTTGATTGAATTTTAGATTTTCCCGTCGATTGACTGGACCGAAGTGCTCGATCTCAGGTTGACGTGTCGGCTTCTTATGCAGATGCTTCGACGATGTCTGGGCATGCATTTAGAATTTATTTGGTAGATGGTGACTAGCAGTGGAATCCACACTGCGCATTTCGTCCTATTTGGGACTCATCAGCTTGGGGATGTACCTGCACTCTCCAGCAAGTGATGATGTTCCCACCGAGGCTCGAACCCAGTGCTCGAATTTTCAAACACCAAAGCGTTATCCACTAGATCACTTGGCCCATGACAGCCACCTCTTGTGCAATGGGTCATATTAATTATTTAACTGAGACCGAGCACTTCGGTCCAATCAATCGACGGGAAAATCTAAAATTCAATTTAATAATTAATATGACTCGTGGCACGAGAGCTAATAGCTCTCGTGGCCCAAGTGGTCTAATGGATAACGCTTAGGCGTTTGAAACTAAGGGCACTGGGTTCGAGCCCCGGTGGGAACAACATCACTCACTGGGGAATGCAGGTACATCCAGCTGACCAGCGAGCCCCAAATAGGACGAAACGCGCATTCTGGATTCCACTGCTAGTCATCATACACCAATTAAATTTCAAACTAACAATTATTTTGCAGTTAAGGTAGTTAAGTAGATCATATTTTTTGTGTGTACATCGGGTAGATTTCTTGGAATATGTTCAAAGAAAGAAGTAATAAGTACATGCAATTTGACGAATCCACATTTGACATCTCATAGAGGAGCCATTCACCTACTGTCTATTGAACTGATGGACAAGTTACCTCATGAAACAGGATTAATTTAGTAAAACATATTTATAACTTTTGACATTTTGCGAAATACTGTAGTCGAAATTCAATATTATCAACAGTTAAATAATCAAGGGTACAAACTAACTCATACCATATTGCAGCCTTTATGAGCTACAGTTGCAAAATATTATAATACACTTGTATGAGACAACAATAGTGAAAGATAATTCTGCGTAAACAACCTCAAATGTGGAGAATTAACGCCTAAACGCTTACTAGCAAAGTTACCATTTTTCCCTTATGGTCTTATGAGATTTATCTGTTACAATGATGACGACAAAATAGCCCATAATAGTTTGTTTATTATATATATCACACAGTGAAACAGTATTACTGCATACTGGATGACGTTTCCAACACAAATTTATTATTACTGATAATCATATCAATTATAAGCACACGACTTCGAAACTTCAGTTTGGTAGTTTTCCTTCTTCTCTCCTATTTGTCGCCGTTGGGGGTAGTAGAATTTTCCAGATATCTGGAACAGGTGTTGAATAATTCCTGTTACACGTGTTTGCAGTTGATTCGATAAACAAGGCTTCTGTTATCAATCTCTCCCTCCACCCTACTCTTGCATTAGATTTTAAAACTGTCATCTTATCCCATCCTATTGTGTGGTTGTATGTAACTGCATGTGGTGAGTGTTATAGCTGAAATATCCTCTAGATTTCTTATCTTATTCTGGTCAAATAATCTAGATTTTTCTAGGGTGTATGCTCGGCTAGCCTGACTACACCCCACTGCACCTACCTGACTGCATCTAAATCATCAGTATTCATTATATACAAGAAAGGAACCTCGGAACCCTTACGCAGAAATCTTAACAAGGCAGGAATAAACGTGGTTGGCATTGACACCACCCACAAACTCAATTGTCGGTTAGAGTATCAATCCTGTGGAGCCAATTGAACAAAAGAATTTAGTCTATCTAATACCCTGCCTGCAATGATTGTCAGGTCAAATACATAGGTTAAAGTAGTGGAACAGTGCTCGGTCAGTCAGACTAGCGGAGCACAAATGCCTTTCAAAATCTAGATTAGTTGACCCGACACTTAGATAAGAAATCTAGAGAATAGTTCAGCTATAGCACTCGCTACACGCAGTTACATACTACCACACAATAGGATGGGATAGGATGACAGTTTTAAAATCTAATGCAAGAGTAGGGTGGAGGGAGAGATTGATAACAGAAGCCTTGTTTATCGAATCAACTGCAAACACGTGTAATAGGAATGATTCAACACCTGTCCAGTCGGACATCTAGAGAATTCTACTACCCCCAACGACGACAAATGGGACAGAACCAAGAAAAATACCAAACTGAAGGTTCGAAGTCGTGTGATTACAACTGACATCAAAGACGTTATCTTAGTGTGTACAGTAAATATTGGGTTCACCTTCCAAGAAAATGCATACAACAAATCGATGGTGTTGCGATGGGTAGCCCTCTTGGGCCCTTGTTAGCAGATACATTCACGTCGAAATTGGAAAAACCAATGCAAGATATGCTTGGAGAATTTATGCTGTATAAACGTTATGTAGATGATGCACTCACTATTGGTAATAATTGTAAATCTATTGAAAACTTCATTACTCTGTTTAATCATATTCATCCAAATATCCGAGTGACTTCTGAACTCGAATCATATAACAAACTCGGTTTGCTGGTTATTAAAATGACCAGGAGAGATGATGGAATGATTCAGCGATCTATATTTCATAAGCAGACAAGGAGTGTACAATATCTCCATTTCACCAGTTTTGTTCCTATCTAGTATAAACGTTCCCTAGTGAAATGTTTGTTCTCAAGGGTCCAAAAAATATGCACGAGCGACACATTGATGGATGAGCTTCGACACATACATTCAGTTTTATTAGCTAATGGTTATCCAGAAAACTTTATCAATTGTCACAGTAAGGATAGACCTCATCTAGGAAAGACAGCTTCTGTACCAAAGAAAGCTATCTTTATTAACCTGCCATTCAAGAGTGACCAGATTATGCATTCGACAGCTCAAAGACTTCGGTCAACCATCAAACGTGCATTCTACGCCACACTTCTTTCCCTCACATCCTGAACATTTTCGATTAAACGACGAAATTCTGTGGACTCCACTTCATACTGCGTCTACAAGTTCACTCGCAGTTGCGGTGACAAACACATATATAGGTAGAACCAATAGAATGTTCCAATGTGGTCGTCGAAAAAAGCATGTTCCGAAATGGTCATTAAAACATATAGAAAATCCCAATGTCAGTAATCTGAATAGAAATCCAGCATCATCCATTGCAAAGCACTGACTAATGTCAGGTTACAAATCAATTTCAATGACTTCTCCACAATTATCTCATCACATAACTCTAATTAAAGGTTATTGAAGGTGTTGGAAGCACTTTTGGGGATTAATCACATGCATCCTAAACTATGTGTACAGAAAACACAATAGACTTCAACCTTCGCCTGCCATGAACTGACTACTTGACCTTTTTAAATATGATTGGTCATTAGTATGTACTTTTGTTTTACATAACTGAGTAATTGTCATGCACTTTATTTTATTTTATTATTGTGAACCATGTTGCTAGTTGTAAAGCGGTTGTAGAGAAACTACGAAACGATACCATCATCTCTTGAAATTTGTCTTCTAAGTGTCTTATTCAAATAAACAAGTTTAATAAAAAAATATAAGAGTAAATAGTATTTTATTGATTTTCTATGAAAAGTACGTTAATGAATATTATACATATATACTGATAAAGACGATATTTGTAAGCCAACATATAAAAGCAGCTTATAAAGAAGTACAAATACACTAAGAAATAAAAAAGAAACAATGTACCATCCATTCATTCCTAATCGCATAAAAAATATTTTGGGAATGCTAAGAAAATTGGTCTGATACAGTTGGTTGTTGAATTACTGTAGTTATAATTTCTTCTATTCACTTGAGACCTTTTTGAAGGCTGATAGGAGTACGCAGGTATTTTGACGACTCACTGTGGTTCACAATGCATCCTGAAGACTTCACTGGAAAGTTGGCAAAGACTTTAAAGTGTAAACATTGAACCTTTTACAGCTCGATAAAAAATGTTTGCTTTATATCACAGATAACGACATTTATCTAATATTATTTGCGAATAATATTAGAAATTGTTTGTTTTGTCTTTTTGTTGTGTGGCTAGTACGACTGTGCATCTGAGTATCTTCAGTTAATTCACAGTGGTTTAATAACTTCAACAAATGTTGCTGGAAACATTCCACGATTACCACTGCTTGCTGACTCTCCTCTATACCAATTTTCATCAAGTGCTTCAAACAGGTATACAATATCACCAGGCTGCAATTAGAAAAATACATAATAATAATAACAACAGTGAGTTCATGTATTTACCGTTGTAGTAGTATAAAAATCGAATGACAGTCAGTAACACTACTGATAATCGATCTTTCAGGAGGCTCCTGAGTGACTTAGACCTACCTCTATTTTTTCAGTAATGCAAGAATTTAAATATGCCATCCAGCTACGAGAATTAACCGACAAGATTAGCGTTTAGTGGGTATCATTTGAAGAACCACTGAAACCCAACAAGTAAGAAACAATTACTTCATCCTAGTGAACAACTTTTCAACATTGCGAAAATGCTTCAGTTTTCATGACCATCACATATTTAAGTGAACAAGTTACTATTCAGGTGCACTGAGTCACAATCTATCAGTTCACAGAATACAATAGTCCCTATACACTGAAAATAGTGAGTAATTATCTTCACTTTCTAATCAGTAATTCTACCGTTACTGATTTTTATTTTTTTTGATTATGACTTGATTCCACACCGTATTTCTGGCACAAGTATGGAATTTTTATCATGGGATATCGGTAGCTCAAATTTAGCGGGCCGACCATTGATATCAGATGTGCATCGAGTGGGGATCAAACCCCGGACCATATGCATGATTGAAGAGAGTCCTAACCGCGGTGCCACTGACGCACAGTTTTTTGAGAAGTTTGTCTCGACATATCAAATAGTAGTAATTCACTAAATGAATTCTGTTTAACTTGTTTCATTTTAGAGCAATA